CCATATGCTGCAGGCACTGTTGGCATTTGTTTGCTGCGTTTCTCACCCCTCTGTTGGATTGGTTTTGAACTTCCCTTGGGTTAAAGACTTTTTGTGTGCCCGTAAATGGAAGAGAGAGAAAATAGGATATTTGAAGTCGGTTGAGGGAAACCGGTCCTGAACCTCTTTGCTTATGATCATGCTCTCATTATTCATTTGCTACAAAAGCTGAGACATGCTGGTAATGGGAAGGGGTTATCGTGAGCTGAAATAAAAGTTTTTTTTTATTTGCCAGTGTCCAATCTTGCTGTAAGCAGCAGTATAGCTCAAAGGTTAAAGACATCCAGTGTCCCTCAACTGACTCCAAGATAAGGATTTTAATGTGAATACAAAACACTGTTTTTTCTTATCCTTTTGATCAATTCTAGAAAAGCCTCTATTGGTGATGTCAGTATCAGGATGACTGCAAACCTTTTACAGGCCATTTATTTTTAATAACAAGTGTGCACTGCTGCGGAAAATACTCTATTATTTTGGCAGACTCTCAGCCACCACTAGCAAAGAACTGTAACTAATAACTGCCATGACAGATGAAAATTAGAGTGTTTTATCATGTAAAAGATACCCTCCTCCAAACAAATGCCAAATTACAGAGCAGCACTAAATAATCACTGCTGTTATACAAATATCAGGGCGGACCACATGGATTGGCTGGGGACAACAAGAATTGTAGTTTTACATGCAGATTATGTAACATTACCGTAGCCAGCCGCGTTCATGTATTGCTCATTTACGTCCTGGACATCTTGTAGATTAAACAGTGTAACTATCCTGCCATGGTCATTGCTGTGAATATGTTGTAGCTGATGTACAATCTAACCCCCTCCTATCCTTTCCCTTATTTAATTTCTTATTTATGGTTCCTAAGCACATGATGCTTCTCTAAGCAAGTGGTGAGCCAATGTTTGAACTTTTACCAGTATATCACAAATTCCAAAATAATAATTCCAAAACATCCACAGGAGTAAGAAAAAAAATTTTGGACCCTGGGTTCTGGTCACTTCCAAATTCTGTGAGTATGTGCCCCTGTACCTTAACTATCACAACCTACCTGGTTGCATTTTAAGTGAATCGTTTACAAATGCCCTTAAACAAAGATCTTTTATTTGAACGGTCTAAGGTTCAAGAGCTTTCAACTTAAAATTTTGTTTTTTCCATCCTTTGTCATATTTTTATGGATGAGCTTATTTCTGAATTTGGTGTATAAAATTGCTGTAGAGTGAATAGTGATCGCAGAAAAGTGTCACAAGGGCCATGTGTCTAGGCTATGGTGTGTATTTTTATTTAGCTTAGTTTTTAAACTATTGTATAACAGTCATTCTATAAGCCTTCAGTGCAATGTGGATGCCTCTTGTATTTAAACTTAACTCTACATTTCTCATAAACCTCTACTCTGCTCGACTTGAATTTCTTATTACGTCATTACGTCCAATCAGTCATTTAAGTGGTCAGCAGTTAGATGCAGTCAGAGTTGGACTGTCAAAGATTTTATTTGTAAGCAATTACTTGGAGCATGAGCTCTGTTGGCTTTGACGTTCTGAACCTTTTAGTAGATCTGTGATAGGAAACTTGATATCTGGTGACTCATACTTCATGGATATCTAGATGAGCTGTTGTTTTAATTAAAAATAGATTGTGGGGACACATTAACCCTTTAAGGGAGTGAAGCAAAAGTATCAAGGGAGTGATGAAGGAAAATCGTATAGTACATAATTTAAATATTAGCCAGATGATGGTCATTTGAATACATAGTAGTGGTTATCCCTTTATTAGCTGCTTATGATTTTTTTTTCTTCCAGGAAGGCAGAACAAAAATGACAGTTAAGGCCTGGTTCTCCTGATGTTCAGCCCAACTGGCCTACTTTCAGTTTTCATTATGAGGCTGAATGGCTTACAGTATAAAAACATAATGGAGATGTGTTGTGGATAGATGGTTTTCTATAGTTTTAGAACTCTAAGCCTTTAGTAATCACAGATCTATTCAATAGGGCAAATAGCAGTTGAAAATACACTGTCACTCATGGCAACCAATTTAAAGAAATGTTTCATTAGTTTAATTGCAGCATATATAAATGTGGTGAGTTGCAATGAATCAGTACACAGCATTCAAATTTTTGAATGTGCTAATTTTGCCATTTATAAGACTTTACCTGGCTATCAAATAACACAGTAACACAAGGCCACTTAAAGAAATAAAGATTCTAACAGTGTCCCAGAAATAAAAAGGAAAAACATCCAATTTTTACAATTTATGAACGTATTTCAAGCATACTGAAGCTTCATTACCATTTTTGTAGAAATTTTTATTGTTTATAGCAATTGTATTTGTTACATAGTATACATACTTTATAAAATGTGGAATCAGTAGCTATGCTGTTCCCACCTTGCCTCTTTCCTTGTACCTCCAGCTCTCATCCTGTGCATTCCCAGGAGCGCATCCTCGCTCAGTTGTTTTAGCTTGTCAAGTAGAAAGTAACATGCCGCAGACTGCTGCTGTCACTGATGTTAAACCAGCTTTATATTAAATAAAGCATTCACAGCATATTGTCTGGTCTGTCCACCTCCTGCTCCAATGCATTTCACCCCACAAAGGGCTTAAATGGTGATTAAACCCTTTGTGGTGTGAAACGCAATGGAGTTGGGAGGTGGCCTCCATTTACAAGCCCTAGGGACATTTTTAGCCCCTCCCCAACACTCCAACTTTAATTTGCAGGGATGGGGGTGTACAAATGCCACAGCCAAAATTAAGTGGTCAAAGGTCAAGTTCGCATTTTGATTATACACATGCCAGACAAGGACTGCCATATACTGCCATTTTAGGGCATGGTCATTTTTTGATCGTCTGTTCAGGCCTGGCAGCTTTTTTTTTAAAGCACCTTCTTTGACCAGCACTTGGGATTTTTTTTTTATATTGCTTTTAAACAGTCCACTCTATTTCTGAATCTAAAAATGTTCATAGCAGAGATGGTCAAATTGCTACATGTATGATCTTGTTAGCCTTCATTATTTCTTATCTTAGTTGGGACATTTGTGGGCAATACAGCTTGTGTGGATCATACATCAAGCCTGTGAAAATCGGCATGTAAAGAGTGTTGACATCTCAATCAGTACTATATTTAGTAATAACTGTAAGCTTACGAGCCTTGTTCATATTTACCGTAAAATAAAATAGTGGCCATAAAATTAACCTTGTAATAAGAAAAAGATAAGCTGTCATCGTACTCCTTTGAAAATGATTGTTGCCTAGCTGTTGTACTTATATTTTGGCTTCAGTGATCTCTGGGCTACTGGGGGTTGATTTACTAAAGGTAAATAAGGCTGTTCACTTTAAAAGGGAATTTACCCTTTTGCAAGATAAATTTTCCTTAGCTTAGTGAATGTGGTAAAAATCCACTTTGCAAAGATAACCTAATCACATGCAAGGAAAATAACTGAAAACTGTATTTTCACTTGCACACGATTAGATGATGGAAGTCATGAGCTTCATATTATTTTCTAAACTAAGACAATTGCCTTGCAAAGTATGGACAACCTATTTTCCTTTAGAAAATCAACAGCGCTAACCCTGAACAAGTATATTGTCAAAGAATTCCAATCTTTCATTTGCTGCATTCTTGCTCTGGGCCAATGACAAGCATATGATTGTCGCTCTGCATCTCTTTCAGCAGAGTAAGTTTCTATTCATTGTACTGTATGTGGGGCTCAGGTTGACTGGTCTGTAGTTGGGAAAAAATCATTATATTTATTACAAGTTCAAAACTGAACCAAAGTTGTTTTATAGAATAAGAAGACATTTGGGAAGTCATAGGTATCGTTGTTATAAAGTCCTATTTCAAGGATGGGAGTAATTCTCATGCTCACCCCAACTATAAATATTATGTCTCCAGATCCATTATAGACTTGATTATTTTCTAATGTAGTTTTACCAGATTGACTTTTGCAATTAGAAACTTTCCTGGAAAATATGAGGCTTTTCATATGTAGATACATAGGACGGGGGGTATGCTAAATGAAATGTGTCGCCTATGTGCAGCGCGATATGTTTTGTATTTGAAAGGGTTCAACTATTGATTTGCTAAAATCCAGTGGCATTAATGATTACCAGCCTAACCCATGGCTTGTCATATTCTTGGGATGCCGGTTTTGAGCAAATCGATAAACTTGATTTCCATGAATTAAACATCAACTCACCAATTCACTTATTTTCCATTAGGTCACACCCATAATTATCTGACTTGCCTACTGAAAATCAGCCAAGTTTAGGGGCACATGGACAAGTGGTGATAGACTTTATTCTGGTTTATTGGATAGAGTAAGTCACACACATGTACCATGCATTGGTATGTGTTTTCTGTTGTTTACACCCCATTTACACCTTTGTGATGTTGCTGGGCTACAAATATCACCAACTTGTCTTTAGAATTGGGCAAGTAAAACTGTAAAAAAAAAAAAAAAAAAATTACTCATGATCCTCTATTTATAACCGGCATACATAGCATAAATTCAGACCTAGTATTAAGCCTTTCATTTACTAGCTGTTTTCTCACAATGGCTTCCATATCACAGCTGTTCCTAGATTTCATCATTAGCGCCGTTGATCATTTACAGTGTTCGGCAAGACATTATGCCTGTCTCTTTTGTGTATCATATCTTCCATGTTTATTCATTATTTTACCTCTGTTTATAATGCATTATGCTGCAAGGGGTTTCTCAGTAAATGAAGCGATCACCTTGGCTTCAGAACATTTTCAGTCTGTTTGATTCATTGCTCTTCATTTCCTTTGGCAGCGCTGTTAGAGGTTTCTTCGTTCTCTGCTTTCAGAGGAAACCACTGTTTTCTCCAGTTCATGTGGTTTTGGGGAGGAGGAAACAAAGCTTTTTTTTCTTTTTTTTTTTCCTTGTGACATTGTAATCCAGTTCACACCATCAGTAGGACTAAACCATCTGTTTTTCTGTCTCAGCCACAGACCAACAACAAAAACAGCATAATAACCCCAGCAAAAGAAAACCCCCCATTGCAGACAACAATGGTATCTTCCCCATCTACTCTTCTGGGGTTTCAATGTCTGGGATGTGAGCAGTGTGAATGCTGCTTGTGCTGTGCTAATCAAAATTCATGTTTTGCATTTTATTTTACTTCTGCACTTGTGTTCATGTTTTTGATTTTGTCTTATATGGTTACTTTTTTTCAGTAACATGTTGGGAAGAGATTTGGCATTGACCTCCTGGAATTTCTATATGACTGGTGTTGGTTTAGTCAAAATTAAAACCAGTTGACAATCTCTATCACTGACCAAAGTCATTATATTGTGACAATATATGAATGAATACATTTGGTAGTGAAAGGGAAGAGGATCCAGGTGGCCAGCTGCCCCAGATATAGGGATGATAAGGTCAGCACTAACATAGAATTTCCGAAGTGTCATGGTTTACTAAGCTGGTGCTGCGTTCCCTCAGAAAGGCCTGTCTTATCCATATTAAGCCCAAAAACCCATATTATTTAGCCTTCATAGACCACGTATTTAAAAAGACACGGCTGGTAAATTTAAAATAGAAATGTGACTTTTTCTTCAGTACCTGAAGGCCTGTGGCTCCTCCAGATTTTATAACATCCATAGAGCTGCCCACAGTCTAAATGGGATAGTGCCCATGGCTTTATTGCCGAAATATGCATGCAGTCACCAGATTAGTACCATTGACAACAGTCATCGCTCACCACTGTGTGTCCTTGTCATCATTAGTTTTGTGATTATGGTATACAACTAACTAACGTGACCCTGAATGTTTTTATATTGTTTTGCTGAAAAGCTTCTCACTGGTATTTAACTTTCTTTTTTTTTTTCTTTTTCGTGAAAATCAAATATATTTCAGATAGCTGGGGCAGTGATGGGCTGTAGTGGGGCCTAATGTGGCCAGAATAGTAGGGTAATTTTCAATCCTTCCAGACAAAAGCGTTGCACGCTGCTACTCCTATACATGCAAATATCGGTGCTTAGTATAGAGAGGCATTTTTTAGTGCCTCGGGCCCATCACTTGCACATAGCTCACTGAAAATTAACCCTTAGGAATGGAGGGAATGGCCATGTAATCTGGTGGACAGCATTCTATTTAAAGAACAACAAAGTGCTTTCTGATGTATATCCCAAATACTAAGACCACAAAAGAAAGTACAACCATTGTCCAGTCATAAAACATTGCGCAAATTTACCATGGTCCTTTCCTCCCTTCTGATGTCCACTGTGGACCATTACACAACTGAATCACAGCTATATTGCAGGTTTTAATATGTCAATGTATCAGTGCTTGTTTGGAGTGTGAAGTCCTCACATGTTTTGCGTGGCTGTTTTTTTTCCCCCTCTTAACACTTTTTTAGTGCATCTGTTTTATGGTGACGGTTTATAAACATACATAAATTTTTCTGGATATTTTATAGTAATTCCTGTTTATAACCAGGTCCTATAATGTTGGCCTTAGCCCTTATGCATGGATCACCTTGGATTTAAGTGCCTTCACCCTTTTTTACTGTACTAAAGTAACATTTATACAAGGATCCTTTGCTGAAAGCACGGCCTCCTTGTGAGATCCTTGCACAAGTGTATAGTGAACAAATGGTGTGGTTGTTAAAAAAAAAAAAAAAAAAAATGTTTTAGAGAGCCAACATTACAGGGTTGGATGCAGAGCTGTTTGGATTTCTAGAGACAATCTGGGTCAATTTGCAAAGTGGGAAAATGTAGTTACATAAACCTAGGTCTGTTGTCCTATTTTTATCTGTACATTTTACACATTTTATTATAAACTAAATCTAGAAACATAATATTAAAAGCTTGAACACATTAAGTTATGTCAGTCTACTTTTATGCATCTAACCACATTTTGTGAGGCCACTTTTATATTTACTGACATTACTTTTGGCTTTTTACAGCATAGTGAACTCATGTAATATGGTCAGGTATGGGTTATTATCTTAGAGACTGACTGAGGCCAGCCTACTGGTGAGCTTATATATACTTTTAGCTACACCTCCTCTTTTGACATCAGAGTTGCCATATTGACAGTTTTGGCGTATATATCCTGGTGTTCTTTCCACCATTACAGTTATGGTTATCCTTACAATTTAGTATTCCAATCTTTTTATTGAAAAAAAAAAAAAATCTACAAAGACGAAGTACATAAAGATGAGAGGTATTGAGCTCTCAGAGCCACATTAGGCAGCATTAACAGTGTTCAGAAAAATTAAGAAACTAACATTGCATATATATGTGGGGACCAAAAGTCCCTCTGGTGTAACCCACAGAGGATAAACGGCAACAATTATCAACGTTCCAAAACATATTTCACTATGAAAAACGTATAATATTGAAGCCCCTTAGAGCATGAACACAACAGCAGTCGGGTACTAAAGTCAGGCACATCAAAAGATGATGATAGAAACAAGTACAACGAAAGAACGAGGGAAGGAAAAAAATAAATGTGGAAGAGATTAAGAGAGAGATTGAAGTAAAAGAGGGTTAGCTAAGGGACAGAGAATAGCCTTACTATTTAAGGAGGGTGGGGAGGGTTGGGGGACACAATTTTCATTGTTTGTATACATTTTCCCATCTGTAAATTGCTCATGAAATGTTAAACATGATGGCTTTTTGTGTTAAGTTTAATTATTTTCTGCAACTGTCGGTTTTTAAATAATGTTCCTGCTGTTAATGTGCCTAAAGTGTAAAGTTTTACATGCACAATAGTTTCACGTCTGTTGCTAGCCCTCTTTGCACAGTTTTGTAGTATACACAATCTAGCTGTTCTTCTATGGTGTCTGTGTTGTATACACTCTGTATTGTTCATTTAGAAGTATTTCTTTTGTATTTGTGTGATAGTTAATCACTTTCCTTGTCTGACTTTTTTTCTGTCCACTCCTTTCTTTTTTATTTTTTTTATAGGAACCTCAGACAACTGTTGTTCATAATGCCACAGATGGGATAAAAGTAAGCCTTACCATTTGTATTACCATCTCTGAATACACATTCTTCTATGCTTTTGATCTTTACCTATATGCATGAACCATTTTTTTTTTAATCTAAAACTTGTCAAATAAGCTAAATGTTTTCATGTAGTAGAGACTGGAGTGTAGGTGTACTTGACACTGTCTGAAATTGAGAAATATAAATGTACTGTGCTGATCATACTGACTTATAGCTATTGCTTTGGATGGTTGCTATACTAGATTCTTTTTAACAATCATTAGCAGTTATGATATAAATCCTGGTATAAGGGAAAGAGAAGACTTACTGCTTCTAATTTGTTGCATGGAAGCTTTCATGTCTACATTTAGGCGTTGATTTAACCTGAAATTGCCCCATCACCATTGCTGATGTGTTTGATTTTAATTGCACAATTTCCATTTCTAAGATAGCAGCTGGTGTTCAAATTCTCACAATTCATAAAATAGGATACCACTTGATAATATTTGGTGAAAGGATAAGTTCGCCTTTTAGACAAAAATAATAAATGCACGTTTTTTGGCAGGTAAAAAAAAATGTGCATTTATTATTTTTGTCTACAGGAGCCTGGAAAGCATTGCACCAGCGATCAGTAGATCGCTGATGCCATGCAGGTCTCCTGCAGACCTGTCAGAATATCTACTTGCCATACGGGATGTACGAGCAAGCAGATATTCTGACAGGAGGCTTCAATGAACTACCACTGTGCTGTGGAGTGCCGTGGTAGTTCATTGAAAACTACAAGCTGACAGCCGCTAAGACTGTCAGGACCTTCAGTTTGTTCATTCACGGAAATCCGTGAATGAATGATGCGGCCATGTGGGCAGAGCCCCGCACGGCCGCACTGTTTCAAATTTGATAGTATCTATCTGAGGAAGGGGGCGGCAGCTATGGGAACTTGTTACATGTTCCCCCCTAAAAACAGGTGGAACATGTAACATGCTCCCAAAGGTGAACTTATCCTTTAAGTGCTAAATTCTTTTGGAACATTATATTTGTATATTCTATATATTATGAAAGGTGTTGGGGTTTAATCATTTAAATTAAAACTTTCCTGTTGCATATACAGTTATAGTATCTACTGCACTATGTATTTCCTTTGTATTCATATGTACTCGCATGTTTTTGTTTTGCAGGGATCAACTGAGAGCTGTAATACCACAACTGAAGATGAAGACTTGAAAGGTAGCTATTTCTGTCACATATCCTGAACACTTGCTGAACTAAAATCCATTTATCTCTGACTTGTTTGTGGCTACACCAACAACTGGAGTTAATTTAATAGTCTATTATGTATTTGTTTCCTTTTTGGCTTTGTAGTCTGCCGCTGATAAAATGTCTGGCTTTCATATAATTTGGCAACCTATGCGTCTGGCTATATTGCACGAAGATTCACTTAGTGCTTGAGTCAAGTGGCCAGATCACTTCTGAGTTCTGTTAAAGGATAAGTTCACCAATTGCTAAAAAATAATAAACACGCATTTTTTTTATTTGCAGTTAAGAAAATGTGCATTTATTATTCTTTGTTGCAGGAGTCATTGCACCAGCAATGTGCTCCAGGTTTCCTGCAGACATGTCGATATACCCGCTTGCCTGTATGGGGATGTATGGGCAAGCAGATCCAGTGCTTTGAGGGATATTCATACCCCTTGAAAATTTCCACATTTTGTCATGTTACAAACAAAATTGTAAATGTATTTTATTGGGATTTATGTGATAGACCAACACAAAGTGGCACATAATTGTGAAGAAATACATATGTGAAAAGTGTGGCATTCATTTGTATTCAGCCCCCAGAATCAATACTTTGTAGAACCACCTTTCACTGCAGTTACACCTGCAAGTCTTTTTGGGGATGTCTCTACCAGCTTTGCACATCTAGAGAGTGAAATTTTTGCCCATTCTTCTTTGCAAAATAGCTTAAGCTTTGTCAAATTGGATGGAGAGTGTCTGTGAACAGCAATTTTCAAGTCTTGCCAGATTCTCAATTGGATTTAGGTCTGGAGTTTGGGCTATTCTATCACATGAATATGCTTTGATCTAAACCATTCCATTGTAGCTCTGGCTGTATGCTTATGTTGATTGCTCTGTATTTGACTCCATCCATCTTCCCATCAACTCTGACCAGCTTCCCTATCCCTGCTCAAGAAAAGCATCCCCACAACATGATGCTGCCACCACGTTTCTCGGTGGGGATGGTGTGTTCAGGGTGATGTGCAGTGTTTTTTTTGCCGCCATACATAGTGTTTTGCTTTTGGGCCAAAAAAATTAAATTTTGGCCTCATCTGACCAGAGCACCTTCCTCCACATGTTTGCTGTGCCCCTCACATGGCTTCTCGCAAACAGGACTTCTTATGGTTTTCTTTCTCTGATTAATTTTCTCCTTGCCCGGCCTGTCAGTTTAGGTGGACGGCCATGTCTTGGTAGGTTTGCAGTTATGCCATACTCTTTCCATTTTTGGATTATGGATTGAACAGTGTGATATGTTCAAAGCTTGGAATATTCTTTTATAACCTAATCATGCTTTAAACTTATGCACAACTTTATCCCTGACCTGTCTGGTGGGTTCCCTGGCCTTCATGATGCTGTTTGTTCACTAATGTTCTCTAATAAACCTCTGAGGGCTTCACACAACAGCTGTATTTATACTGAGATTAAATGATACACAGGTGGACTCTATTTACTAATTAGGTGACTTCTGAAGGCAATTGGTTCCACTAGAGTTTAGTTAAGGGTATCAGAGTAAAGGGAGCAGAATACAAATGCACACCACACTTTTCAGATATTTATTTGTAAAACATTTTGAAAACCATTTATCATTTTCCTTCCACTTCACAATTATGTGCTACTTTGTGTTGATCTAGCGCATAAAATCCCAATAAAATACAGTTACGTTCTCGGTTGTACCATGACAAAATACCAAGGGATATGAATACTTTTTCAAGGCACTGTATACTGACAGGAAGAATCAATGAACTACCACTGCGCTCCACAATACCGCGGTAGTTCATTGAGAACTACAAGCTGACAGCCTCTTTTGACAGCTAGTGGAAGGAGACGATCCTCTGCTAGCTGTCAAAGCCTGGGTCGGTCTGTTCATTACATGTTACACACTGAATATGGGTGTAACAAGTTATGAAAGGTGAACTTATCCTTTAAGATAGAGATCAGCTTGAAAATATTATATATGTGTTATTTAAAAAAACAAAAACATAGTTTTAAGAAAGCCTGTACACAGGGCGGCCATAGTTACTCATTGCAGAAGTAGGCTCTGCTTCTTGCCTTTCAACACTGCACATAGTTCTACTTTTACTACTACTTCTCACAATGTACTTCTGGGTGTGGGACCACTCTCTGAAAACTGTGCAATCTCTGTGCAGCCAATATCTTATCTCAATAGTTGTTAAAGTAGAACTATAGGCAAAACTTTTTTTTCATTTTGGATCGGTCATAGGAGGGTTATAACCCCTGTCAGATTTTTTTTCCCCCCACCATCTGTCTCTCATTGGTGACATTTATCTTCACTTCCTGTCCCATAGCCAAACAGGAAGTGAGAGGAGATCCCTACAAATTAAAGGAATTCCTTGGGACCCCCAGGTTACCAGAAGTAGTGTCCCCATTGGAAGATTTCCCCTCTATTACTTTTCTGGGGACAGCCCAAAATTTGGGTTTTACTTTTACTTTCACTTTCAATGATAATGGTAAACAGGACAAATAGAGAGATGAATCTCCTTAATGGGCACAGACAGCAATAAAAACTAACAGGTGTTCTAATCCCTCTTCACTCTATCCAAAACTAAAAAAAAAATGTTGTCTTTGGTTATACTTTAAGGAGGCATTTGATTATACTGAGGCACTGAGAGCTGCCTTTAGTAGCTAAACTACAGATCACCATATTTAATAATACAATGTCAATATAGAGCACACATGTAAACTTGTAAAAGTCACTAGAACAATTACTTCATATAGTCCTCCCCAGCAGTACATGCTTAACGTCTTTTCACTTCTTCACCATCCTGTTCAGCTGCCATGTCTGATAGAGAGGAGGATCCGCACACCAGAAGATCAGCAGAGCTTGAGGTTACTAGTTAGTGGGGGAAAATGCAGAGCTGGGGGTTACTACTGAGTGGGGGATTAGCAAAGCTGGGGGATACTAATGAGTAGGGGATTAGCAGAGCTGGAGATTACTACTGAGCAGGGGATCATCAGAGCTACTAAGTGGGGCCTCAGAAGAGCTGGGGATACTACTGAGCCAGAGATGTGCTGAGAAAGGGTAGTAATGATCTTGGGACTTGCTGAGTGGGGTTGCTAATGGTCTTGGGACTTGCTGGGTGGGAGTGCGAATGATCTTGGGACCTGCTGAGTGGGAGTGCTAATGATCTTGGGACCTGCTGAGTGGGAGTGCTAATGATCTTGGGACCTGCTCAGTGGGAGTGCGAATGATCTTGGGACCTGCTGAGTGGGAGTGCGAATGATCTTGGGACCTGCTGAGTGGGAGTGCTAATGATCTTGGGACCTGCTGAGTGGGAGTACTAATGATCTTGGGACCTGCTGAGTGGGAGTGCTAATGATCTTGGGACCTGCTGAGTGGGAGTGCTAATGATCTTGGGACCTGCTGAGTGGGAGTGCTAATGATCTTGGGACCTGCTGAGTGGGAGTGCTAATGATCTTTGGACCTGCTGAGTGGGAGTACTAATGATCTGGGGATCTGCTGAACTGGAGTAATAACAAGATTGGGAGATATTACTGAGTTTGGGGGTACTACTGAGCCCTATTAAAACAAATAAAAAATCAACACACATGACATTTGCCAGGCTTCATTAAAGCTTCAAAAGAGCATCACAGAAGCATAAAAACACACACAAAAAAAGAAGTGGTAGGTGCTTTAGGGCTCATGTACACTGCAGCTGATAAACTCGCGTTCAGGAGCTTTTCTGCATTTTTTCCAGCAGCCCCTGAACTCTCCCTAATGTTTTCCTATGTGTCCATGTACACTGTTGTTTACAGTCAGTTTTTTGAATGCACCAAACTTGCATTCAGAAGTAGATTTTATCAGCGTTTCTTGTCAACGCGTATAAAGCGTTTTTAACTGTTCCATATCCAGATGCTGTCCAGAGCCTTTTTTCAATCATCAGAAATGCATGCAAAGTGTATTCAAATGGTCCTAATACACCAGCACAGTCAGTTCCAGGTTTTGCGTGAAGGAAAAAATGGTAGAACGTGCCGCCGCATTATGCTCATGATGGGATCCATAGTGAATACAACCAGAAAAGACAGGTCATCTCAACACATACTGCTCTCTGCTTCTGCTCTATTTCTCTCAAAATGTCTGAAATTGGTAATTTTTTACTGTATTTCAGTGCATTCTGGGCATTTTGGAAAGTCTACTAAGGTTATCTTACAAAAAAAAAAAAAAAAAAATCTTATAAACGCGGTATGCAAATGTGGCTAAACTGATGTTTTTTAACCTACGTTTTCCAGCAGTCAGTTTCCATCGCTCAGAAGTGTTTTCCAAATGTCCCGTGTACATGGGCCCTAAATGTGTGTTAAAATCAGAGCAAGTGTAAATGCAACTTTGCTTTGAGAACAGGCAAATATTAGACCTGTATGGCTAGAATCAGACAGAGATCAGCATAATGGCACTGGGTGAAGTGAACCCTTTTTTTTTTTTTTTTTTTTTTTTTGGGCACAAGAATGCAGTTAATTTGTCCACTGCAAGTAATTTCTACTATCTTCCAGTTAGTCTAAAAATACCAGCTCATCCGAGGACTTGGAGATCCTTCTCCCTAACTGTAGTCATTGGTCTCTTGCATATTATCTGTGTAACAGTAACAGAGGAAGGAATGATCTGTATGGTAAATGGTATTTAGAACTCTGTCTAGGAGGCTGTGCCCCAGATCATAGTAATAGGATGTGTTGCATCTCATAAATGATGCAATGAAATGCTGAGACAACATGTACTTTACCAAGATCGAGCAGAGTATAGGGAGAATAGACATCAATCTTTTAAACTACAAGACTGTGCTTATTTATTCATAACACTAAAAGGGAAAATAACATTGGACAGCCGTGAAGTGCTGCCTTCAGAAAGATTCCTCACCATGAATTGGCGCGTTAAGTATCACTCATTGATTTTGTCTCGTCGCGTTTGTAGAACAGTTAGCATTTGTTAACATGTTACATTC